GAAACCAGTACCAGAAGAACACTCTCAACCAGAGGGTCTTGAGGAGGGGAAAAAAATCAACCTCCCTCCCCATAAACAGACAGACAAAGTTCCTACCAGAAGGGCAAAGGACCTCTCCGGCCCCTGCTGTGGGGAGTCCACTAGCACGTCTGCCTGGACCTTCCTCCCTGCCTCCAAAATGATCCGGATCACAAATTACCAATTCAGACATTAACAGGAAAAGAAAGACACTGAAGCAAAGAAAAGGAAACCAAGGACGAACTATTTCTACAAATTCTAATAAATTACACAATTGCTGGTGCCCTACTCTAGCACCACCAACACACAATAAATCTTTAAGCATATATACAAAAAGCATGCAACTCTAGCCTGCTCCCATTTTTAATATTTACAAGAAAACTCACCGCTCCTCTTTTGCCTTCCTTTTGAAGGTCCTCTTCTTTCTTTTTGATGAGATCTCCTTTTATTCTTTATCCAGCGGTGTCCTTCACTGAATCCCTCGATACTCAGGTCCGTGTTCTTCAAGTTCTTGTTCTTCAGGTCCCTGTTCGGGCGCCACTTGTGGCGGTCCAGCCGTCACAACACGAACATGCCTGAGTTGGGGAGTGAGGATTGAGAAAGGAAAGAACACTCAAGCCTGAGTGGAGACGAAGAGAAGTCTGATTTATTTCACAGAAACAGCTCCTTTTATAGGTTCACATCAACAGGAAGCACCAAGCAACTATTTGTATCTTTTATGCAAAGACCCGGATTGTCTGACTCTTTGCAAAGAACATCAGATCTTCGGCTGTCTCCTTGAGTTTCTTCCGTTGCAGCAACAAGTTTAACAAGCAGAGTCCTAGAATGTTACAGATTGTATCAATGCCTTGAGCGTAGAGGTGAAGAAGTTTCCTTTTAAATGTCAAACTCCTAGAGGGCCACGGCCGGCCTCCCACAGTCTCAAAAAAACAAAACAAAACAAAAAAAACCAAAATTTTGTTACTGAGGGCCCAGGGATATAGCTCAGCAGTGCCAACTGCCTGCCTTGCAAGCACAACGTCCCAGTTTGATCCCCAGTACCCCCACCGCCAAAAAAAAAAAAAAAAAAAAAAAATAAACAAAAACATTTTCTTACTGAGGCTGGATTCAAACTTAGTTCCTGTTTAACATTTCTTCTGTTAACTCTCATGCCTGATTGTCTGTTGTCCACGGGAGGGAAGTGATTTGATACTTTTTTTGGAGACAGAGTGGAGCTATATAACCCAGTCTGTCTTCCTGCCTCAGCCTCCAGAGTGCTGGGATCACAGGTGGGCACTCTGTATATCAGTTGCCTGTGAGACAGTCATGCCTGGTCTCAGAGTCCTCTGCCTGCACTCAGCTGTCATTGGCGCCCGTGTGACCCCTGTCCCCTGGCTGTGAGAGTGTCAGCGTCCTCCTGCCCTGCTCCCCTCGGGCCAGGCTGTGGGAGGTGGCTGTGTGAGACTCAGCAGCGCCAGCCTCCATCCCTGCCGGGGTCTGGCACAGCTGGCCGGGCAGGGAGGGTGCCCCGGAGACTCTTCCCCCTGGGAGCCGGGTGCAGTGGCCTGGCGCAGTGGGGTCCCCAATACCCGAGAGGCCAAGGCAGGATTGGTTACACCCAGATGTGAGCCCAGGCTGCGCAACACAGCTGTCTCTTGGGGACTTTTTTGCAGTGAGGGGCACTAACCCTGGGTCTCATGAATCCTAGACCAACACTCCAGAGGGTCTATCTTTCTTTCGTTATTTAAAATTTTTAGATTTTTAAATTTATTTTTGGAACTGTATTATTTACCTTAAATGTACCAAGAAACTTAATGGGGAAAAAAATATTTTTGGAGACAGGGTCTCCCTTGTAAGGCAGGCTGGTCTTGAATTCGCTGTGTAGCGCAGTCAGGCCTCCTGCTCTCCGCGATCCTCCGGCTTCAGCCTCCTCAGTGCTGTGACGACAGGTGTGTGTCCCCAGGCCTGCTTCTGGGACCTGGTTTTGCGGGTAGTCCAGAGGCATCTTCACTTGCTTTAACTGCCTGAGGGTTTACCTCCCTCTAGGAAGAAAGAGGAGAAGCTGGATTGGATGTACCAGGGTCCCGGGGGGATGGTGAACCGGGATGAGTACCTGCTGGGCCGCCCCATCGACAAGTACGTGTTCGAGAAGCTGGAGAAGGAGGCCGGCTGCTCCTCCGAGACCGGGCTGCTTCCAGGCTCCATCTTCGCCCCGGCCGGGGCCAACTCGCTTCTGGACATGGCCAGCAAGATTCGCGAGGACCCGCTCTTCGTCATCAGGTACAGGGCTGCCTGGGGGCAGCGTAGGGACAGCTGCTCCCCTGTGTGTCTGTCCTCTTCAGGGGCTGAGATGGGGAGGAGGAGATGCTCCGGGGCGAGGGCGGGCCCGGCTGCCCAGCCTGTTCATCCACCTTTTGTTTGTTTGTTTGTTTGTTTGAGACAGAGTCTCACTGTGTAGCCCAAGCTGGCCTTGAACTTGTGGCCATTCTCCTGCCTCGGCCTCCTGAGTGCTGGGACTACAGGTGTGCGCCACTGTACCCGATTTACTCAGTTATCTGTGGCCCTGAAATAGAAATAGGGGAAGTCGGGTGACAGGTGGGCAGCTTCTTCACAATTTGGAAGTGTGTGTAGAGCTGAGGAGGCTGTAAACTGGCTTTTGTGCTCCTAGTTTCTTTTTTTGGAAGGGCCAGCAAAATCCTTTGAAAAGAAACTAGAGGGCCGGGGATGTAGCTCAGTGACACCACCTACCTGGCAAGTGCTGGGTCCTGAGTTCGATCCCCAGTACCAAAACAAAAGAGAAGAAACTAGAATCTGGATTAAAATCCCAACATGTAACAGATAAAGGGAGAGCTATTAAATGAGATTGTTTTCCATGCATTTATTTTGGTTGGATTGACAGCCCCTTGTTTTGTTTTTCTTTTTGAGACAGTGTCTTGTTTGAACTTGAGATCTTCATGCTTCAGCTTCCCAGAGAGCTGGGATTACAGGCCTGCGCCACCACCCCTAGCGAAATTTTGTGTGTGTGCAGGAGGAAAAGAAAGGGAATGTGGTTTAGTGGCAGTGCGCCCTGCTCTTATACTCAGGATCACGCGCGCACGTGCGCTCGGCAGGTGGTTTCTGAGACCGTGCGGCCAGGGCGCCTACGGCACCGACGTTTGCTGGCCAGGCGGGAGGCCCTGAGCGCTCAGCCCGGGGAGTGGCACCTGGTGGGGTTCCCGTCATGTGGATTCGCGGTGCAGCTGTCGCTGTGGGCCCTGTGCGCATGGCTTTGGGAGAAAGGTCGTCACTGGGACTGGGGACAGGAGAAGGAATTAACTCCCTTTCCAGAAGACACAGTCGTGATCTTAGAAATTCTTCTGTTTAGGAAGAAAGAGGAGGAGAAAAAAAGAGAAGTGCTGAATAATCCTGTGAAAATGAAGAAAATCAAGGAATTGGTAAGCCCAGCGTAGACTAATCACAGAGCAGTGCCCTTCACCTGTTTCCCACGGGAGTTTGTCTCCCGTTCCTTTTTTTGGTACTGGGGATTGAACTCAAGACCTTGTGCTTGCGAGGTAGGGTTAGTGCCAATGAGCACTAAACTCAATCCCTGGCCCTCCAGTTCCTATTATTTCAGAGGAAAAACAAAGTGGTCTTTTTATTTGTTTGTTTGTTTGTTGAGACGTCTCACTGTGTGGTCCAGGTTGGACTTGAACTCTTGGTGATCTCCTCGGAGTACACGTAGGTGCCGCCCGCCCCGGCTGGAGCACAGAGCGGGGCCCCTGGCCGGTGCTTCTGAGAGGTCTCCCGTCATGCCCTGCGCCCAGGAGAGGACAGGGCGGGCGGCAGTGGCTGGGTCAGGGTCTCTGTAACCCTTGGTGGTCGTGCTCTGGGCTTTTTCTAGTTGCAAATGAGTCTGGAGAAAAAGGAGAAGAAGAAAAAGAAGGAAAAGAGAAAGAAGCACAGGAAGCGCAAGCACAGGAGCGCGAGCAGCAGCCGGTCCAGCAGCGAGGACGAGTCGGGCCCGGGCCGGGGCAGGTGAGGCTGGGCTGCACTGCTGATGGGGTCGTTATAGGGCGGCCCTGTGCTGTCGGCGCCCTGCGGAGGGCCTAGGTGAGCTCACTTGAGCTGCACAGAGCTGACGGCAGAGGAGCTGGTTCAGCTCATTTTCTTCTCCGCCCGTTGCTGTGGGGTCTTTCTGAGACAGTCTGTGCAGTGCAGTTGGCTTGGATCTCACTGTGCAGCGCAGGCTGGCCTCAGAAGCAATCCTCCTGCCTCAGCCTCCTGAGTGCTGGGATCACAGATGTGTGGCATCATCATGCCCGTGTCTGAAGTGGGTTTTATGTAGGCTTTTTTTTTAATGGATTAATGAGCCTGTGTGGGCCTGATCTGTGTCTGTGCTGTGGGAAAAATCAGCTCTGCTGAGGTGACTCATGTTCAGACCTTGGAATGGCAGCCTGAGGTGAGAGGCTGCACCCACGGATCCTCCCCAAGAAACCTGCCCTGTGACTCGGCTCCCAACACGGACACCCTAAGGGGACGAAGCTGGGCACCCAAACCCCTTGCTGGACCCGGGGCGAGGCTTCCTTAGCGAGTGTGTGTTTGAATTTTAGGTCTCAAAGGAGGGTGACAGATTCCCGTGTGGTTTTGTCCAAAGTGCCCGGCTATGGCTTACAGGTAGGGACGTGGCCTTCTCTGGGGGACTGTGGGACTGAAAGTACCCTGGTGGCCAAGGCATGGCAGGGAGCTCCAAGCCACTCACCTGGCTGGGCTCTGGGCAGGGACGATGCCCCCATGGGGACTCAGATGTCGCCCCAACCTCCACGGGTAACTGATGGCAGATGTCCACATCCTAAGGTGCAGTAAATGCCTCCTGGCTGTGTGTGTGTACTGGGGTACTGGGGTTTGAACCCAGGGACTTTTACACTGAGCTATATCCCCATCCCTTCTTAAAATTTTTTCGACAGTGTCTTGCTAAGTCACCAGGTTGCTGCAGCCTGGTTACTATTTGCAATCCTCCTGCCTCATCCTCCCGAGTGCAGGATTTCAGGTGTGCTGCACCACGCCCAGCCCTACACTGGCTTTAGAGGAATGGGCGTCCCTCGGTACCTGTGACCTGTGCCCCTCGCCCTGTCCACCCCCACCCCGCCTGCTGCCCAGGCTGGCTTCCGGGTGACCTCTCTCTCCTCCCTCCCGCACGAGCAGGTCCGGGACCCTGCCCAGGACCGGGGGTCGCAGGGCCCTTCGGTGGCCCAGTCCAAAGGCACCTTCCAGATGAAGAGCCGGTCCCGGTCCCCCAGCTCCTCCCGCTCCCCGCCCAGACACTCGGGCAAGAAGAGTGCCAGGGACAGGCGGTCACGGTCCCCGAGGCACAGCCGAGTGTGAGTGTGGGGCTCCTGGGAAATCACCCTGAGCCCGCCGCCTGGGCACAGCGGGCCTCTGACAGAGTTCTCGGCGCTGTCTGAGCTGCAGAGCTGTGTCCTCTGTGTCCCCTGCAGGCACAGCGGGAAGGGCAGCCTCAGAGAGCGGGCCCCATCCCCAAAGAGAGAGGCCCACACACAGCGGCGAGCGCCGGGCTACACCAGGTGAGGCGCACTGAGAAAACAAGGTCGGCTGGGGGATTTCGGTTTCGAGCTCTACCCCTGAGCCGCATCTCTGGCTCTTTTTGAAACTTTGTGTGAGTCAGGATCTCATGAAGTTGTCCAGGCTGGATTGAGTTTGTGATCCTCCTGACTCAGCCTCCCGAGTAGCTGGATGACAGGTGTGTGCCAGTGCCACAGCCAGAGTGTCCTTGGTCGAGGCATTTGTCCTTCTCGTGGGCAGAGTTGGGTATGGGCTGGCTTAGCAGGGATGAGAACTGAGGAGAGGCCGCTGTGCCCACGAGGGGCTGTCCTGGCATCCAGCCTGCTCCTGGCCAGTGTTTAGATGGTGCGGGCGGCTTTTGTGTAAACCATTTCCACATAAACTGGCCGTGCATCAGAATTACCCAGGACACTTAAAAAAATCCCAAACTGGGTACACACTCCTATAATCCTAGCCACTTGGGAGGCTGAGGCAGGAAGGTCACAATTTGAGCCCAGCTTGGGCAATTTAACAAGACTCTTGCCTCAAAAGGTAAAAAAGGTTGGAGGCATAGCTCAGCGCTCCCTGGGTTCAATCCCCAGGGCTCCAACAGCAGCAGCAGAGCTCACTGCCCAGCTGTGGCCCACGCCGTTACAGTGTCAGATCTAAGGGGTGTCAGTATCTCTTGTTTTTTTTGGCTTTTTTTGCAATCCTGGGGATAGAACCCAGGGACTTTGCACTGGCTACATCCCAGCCCTTGTAAATTTTGAGACAGAGTCTTAGAAAGTTGCTAAGTTGTCCAAACTTTTGATCCTCCTGCCTCAGTCTCCTAGAGTGCGGGTCTGCTGGGTGCAGCCCCGGGCTTGGGTTCAGACACCAGCAGTTTTGGAGCAGACCTGTGGAGCCAAACTGCTGGTTCCCCAGGTTATCTGGGAGAGCCCTCGGGGAAGGCAGAGTTACTGTGAGTGGCAGCTCTGCAGAGGAGGCTGCAGCTCCCTCCCTTTCTGGGCGGCAGGAACCCCGTAGCTGCGACACTCCTCTGGCCCCGTCTTCCATGCCCCCCTCAGATGCTGGCAGGGCCTGGACTTGAGTGTCTTCCGGCGCACAGGTGGGCGGCGCGTGACTGTCTTGCACATTCTGCCTTATTTTTCTGTCTCTTGCCATCTGCCATTGCTTGAATTTGCCTTATTTTGTCAGCCATTCTCATGGTGCAGAGAATTTATTTTATTTTTCTTTATGGTACTGGGGGTTGAACCCAGGTCTTTATAGTGAATTTTCTTCATGGCTTTCTCTCTTCTTCTTTCTTCTTCATTTTTGGTACCAAGGATTGAACTTGGGGCCTTGTTCTTGTGAGGCAGGCAGCGGCACCACTGAGCTAAATCCCTGATCCTCTTTTTCTTTATTTTTTTGTTTTTGTTTTTGAGACAGGATCTCACTATGTAGGTGAGACTGCCCTGGAACTCACAGTGTAGACCACGCTGGTCTCAAAGTCACAGCCATCCTCCTGCCTCAGCCTCCCTAGTGCTAGGATTACAGGCGTGTGCCGGCCTGCCCAGCAGTCTTTTTCTTTATTTTTTAAAATTTGGAGACAGGGTCTTGCCTTAAGACACTGAGTTGCTCAGGGTAGATTTAATCTTGGATCCTCCTGCCTCAGCCTCCCCCAGCACTGGGGTTATAGGCATGCAGCACTATGCCCAGCTGAGATCTCAATTTAAAATCTTTTTTGTAAGCCGGGTGTGGTGGTGCATGCCTGTAATCCCAGCACTCAGGAGGCTGAGGCAGGAGGATTGCAGTGAGTTTGAGACCAGCCTGGGCTACATAGTGAGTTCCAGGTCAGTCCCAATTACGTAGTGAGACCCTGTCTCAAAAAACCAAAAATAAATAAATAAATAAATAGTTCTTTTTATAGACTGAGACTATTTTTTTTCCTCATACTTCTTTTTGGCTTATGGTAGTCCCATTTAATTTTATATTTCATTGCTTTTCACATTTGTTTTGATACTGGGGATTGAACTCACAACTTTGCACTTGTGAGGCAGGCGCAGTGCCACTGAGTTAATTCCCCAGCCATTGTTTTTGTTTTTTGAAATGGGTCTCACTGTGTAGCCCGGGCTTGTGTGCCTCAGCTTCCCGAGTGCCGGGATTACAGGCATGCACCACCCCGCCTGCAGAAAATGGAATTATTCTTGGATTAATTACAGTTACTATAGAGTTACAGTTTCGTTTCTTAGATTATTTTATTTAGATTCATATACATGCAGTTTTCAGAGTCACATAGTATTGAAAAATCTTTGTTGTTGTTGGCATTTTTTTTTTTTTTTGAGACAGTGTTACTGTGTAGCTCAAGATGGCCCTGAACTCATGGTGATCCTCCTGCCTCAGCCTCTAAGAGTGCTGGGATTACAGGTGTGCACCACCACACCCTGAGATTTGGCGGGTTTCTTGAGCTCTCAGATGCTTTCCCATCCGAGAGAGGGCAGCACAACCTGAGTGCGCTGTGTGTCTGAGCGGCGTGAGGCTGGGCGCTGTGGTTGGTCCCCGCAGAGCCCCTGAGTCCCTGTCAGCTGTGGCGTTGCACTTCTTTCCTCTGTCTTGCGTCCTGCCCGGTGAGTCTGCAGAGCCTGCATCCTGGGGTTTCCTCTGGTGTTTCCGGGGTGGCCCTGGTGTCCCCGAGGTAGGCAGAAGCAGAGTGACCCGTCTCCTCCTGGGACGGACGCTGAGTGCATGCCCTCGTTCTCACCCCGTCGCCTCCTTGCCACCCTCTGCAGGCCTTGGTGACCGTGGCGCCTGAGCTCCTGTGTGGGCAGTGTGACACTGTCCGCTTCTCCCAGGGGTGGGCGCTTGGGACTCAGTTTCTCCCCTCTGTAGCAACAGGCCCTTATATCTGCTTCAGCCTCCCGAGTGCAGGGATGACAGGTGTGTCACTGCGCCTGGCTGTATGGGATCCCAACTCAATGTCTTGAAAGTTTGGATGAAGCTGGGTGTGGTAACCTGTGATCCCAGCACTCCGGGACGCTGAGGCAGGAGGATTGCCACGAGTTCGAGACCAACCTGGGCTACATAGTGAGACCCAAAACAGTTAAAAAAATGAATAAAATTTTTAAAAAGGGTGGGTGAGCCTGCCCGGGAGACGTGCTGGCCCAGTGTTCGGCTGGGTGTTTCCCTGGAGAGAGCCCAGCCCCAAGACCCTGAGGCTTGCCCAACCTCTCCTTGTGCCGCCTGCTGGAGAGTAGAACTGACCAGCGGTCTGTGCTCCACAGAAAACTCTCAGCGGAGGAACTAGAGCGGAAGCGGCAGGAGATGCTGGAGAACGCCCGCTGGCGGGAGGAGGAGCGGCTGAACACCCTCCAGAGGCAGGCCCGTGAGGACGAGAGGGAGCGCAGGCTGGAGCAGCAGGACTCCCGCCACGGCCACTTTATCCAGTGAGTGCCCTGGCGACAGCTCTCGGGGACCCTGTGTGCTTCACTGGGTCCCCAGAGTTCCCATGAAATTCTCCTGCCTCAGCCTCCCGAGTGCTGCGGTCACAGGCGTTCGCCACCATGCCTGGCTCAAATCCCTGAAATTTCTTGGCCTTGTTAAATGAGAATTGATGGCCCGGGGAGCCTTTCTCCAATGAAACTTTGACTTCTTTTCCAAACCTGTGCTTGGGCTCCAGAGGACGTGGGTCCACACAGCTGCTCCCCCGCTGGCGCCCTGCTTCGGGTGATGAGGTTTTTCTCCGTCCCTGTCTCGCAGCCGCATGAAGCTGGAGAGCGCGGCCACGTCCTCCCTCGAGGACCGGGTGAAGCGCAACGTCCACTCCCTGCAGCGGACCTCCGCGGCCCTGGAGAGGAGCTTCATGAGGAGATGAGCGCCGTCCGGGAGGCCGCCAGCCCCTGCGGTCCTCTTTGTAAGGAGCAGAGCAGCACCGTTCAGAGCGACCCGGCCCCTTCGCAAGCTGTGGTGAAGATGGGAGCGCGGGCCCTGGCCGCGTGGCCGTGGGGGAGCCTTTCCCCCGCCTGGGCTCCGGTCTTCACCGCACCCTCCTCCCGCCCTCTCCACTGCCGGAAGCCTCTCTCCAAGTCACGGCGTGGGTCGTGCTCACTGGATAAGTGGACATTTACTCCCGTGTGTGCGTCACGTGACAGGAGGACGTCGGCTCAGGGCAGAGCCGAGATAGGGACCGAACCGGGAGGAGAAAACAGCCAAGCAAGCCCCGGCGGACCCAAAGGTTTTGATGTAAAGGCACAGGCGTGCGCGGGTACTACTGTGTCAGTTTTACACACTGTTAAAAGCGGGCTCGGTGAGAGCGCCTTGTTTGTAAGTGACCGCTGTGTACAGAACCACAGTGGACTTGGTAGGGACACAGCGAGGCGAGAGCTCATTTCCAGCCTGAGTCAAGCAGCTGAGGAGGCCCGGGCTCCCAGATGGAGAGACGATGGGTTCTCCTGTCTCGTGGGGCTGTGGCTGTAGCCGTCAGGACCATGTTGCCAGTGTACTCCTGGCTCCTCGGAGTAAAGAGAACGGAAGCTGTTGTATCAGGCCTTCTTTTTAAATCATGTAGTAACCTTACCATAGTTCTCGGTTTTCTGGAGGAGTTTGCTATTACAGTATTTTTTAGATGTTAAAAAATCAATATGGGGGGGCAGGGATTTAGCTCAGTGATGCTGCCACCTGCCTCCCGAGGCTCAAGGGGCGAGCCGGGCGTGGTGGTGCACACCTGCAATCCCAGCACTTGGGAGGCTGAGACAGGAGGGTTGCTGTGAGTTTGAGGCCAGCACCCTGTCTCAGAACAAATCTCCAGGGGGCTTTTCCTTATCTGGTTTTTTTGTGTGTGGTGCTGGCACGGACCCAGGGCCCCACTAGTGCTGGGCATGCCGCTTCGTCTGCTTGGCCAGGCAGTGGACCGCACCTCGGCTGGGCTGTTCCTTTGTTCTCCTTCCTCACTGAGCTTCCAAGGGGTTGGGATTTTCATTTTTGAACACTTGATGCTTAAAACCTACTTCATCTCCAGAGCGAATGTAATATGCTCTTGTCATTCATTTCATTGCCCCATCCTGCTGCTGATGCTATAGCTAATTATGCTTTTTATTACTTGGTAATAAAGGCCACATTTATTTTTGTAACTGTGAAAGCCACCACGTGCAGTGTGGAGTTTGCACAGACCCGTGACTCCTGTCCAATATGGGGAGACCCTTCTTCGGGGAGGAATTACGTAACCACGTGTGGGCAGGCTGCTCGGTGGTTTGGCGCGGCGAGCGGGAGAAGGAGCCCATCGTCGGGAAAGTGTCCCAAGGCGCCGGCCGACTCTTCCCCTGACCGCGGGCCTAGGCCGGGCAGCAGGTGGGTGGGCGCGGGCCCATTCATAAAACCCAGGGTTTCAGCCAGGTTCTCCCATTGGCCCGG